GATAGCCTACTGGGAAAAAGTATTTGCCCACTCCAGGTCTGACAAAGGCTTAACATCTTGGATCTACAAGGAACTCAAACGTGCTAAAAAGAAAAAAACAAATAACTCCATTATAAAATGGGCAAAAGAAATGAACAGACACTTCACAAAGGAAGACATCCGAGCAGCAAACAAACACATGATGAAATGTTCAACCTCACTAATCATCAGGGAGATGCAAATCAAAACCACACTGAGATACCACCTAACTCCAGTCAGAATGGCAGTTATCAATAACTCAAAAAATAACAGTTGTTGGAGAGGGTGTGGCAAAAAGGAAACACTCCTACACTGTTGGTGGGAGTGTAAACTAGTGCAACCTCTGTGGAAAGCAGTGTGGCGATTCCTAAAAGCTCTAAACATCAACCTCCCATATGACCCTACAATCCCCCTACTGGGAATATACCCTGAAGAACTCAAATCACTATAAAAAAGATACCTGCACACGAATGTTTATCGCAGCATTGTTCACAATAGCAAGAACCTGGAACCAACCATGCTGTCCATCAAAAGAGGACTGGATTAAAAAAATGTGGTACATATGCACGATGGAATACTATGCAGCCATAAAAAAGAACAAAATCATGAATTTCACAGCAATCTGGATGGAACTATTATACTGAGTGACCTCTCACAGAAACAAAGATCCGAGTATCACATGTTCTCACTCATATAATGGACCTTGAACATCCAATGTAATACTATAAGAAAATGACTGACAGTAGTGGGAAACTATGGTGGGAGAGGGAGATGGGATTAATGGTAGGAAATATCTGTCTGGGGACGGGGAAACACCTCTTATCAACAGGGTGCCTGAATGAAATGTATTTGTATACCTAACTCTTAACTGTACCCCACAACATCATAATAAAAAATATTGATTAAAAAAAAAGAAAGAAAGGTTTCTTTACCTGGTTTCATGGCTTACTATATATCAACAGTAATCAGGATAGTTTGTTGTTATAAGAATATACAAGTGGCTCAATTAAAAAAAAATCAGTAGAGAATCCAGAAATAGATCTTTATATACAGATATATATGATCAATTGATTTTCAACAAAGTTCCAGGGCATTCCAATGGGAGAAAAGAGAGTATTTTATAAAGGGTGCTGGAACAACTGGAAAAACATACAGAAAAGAATTCCACCCCCTATCTTACATGACACACAGAAACTAATTTGGAGTAGATCATAAACTAAATGTAAAAACTGAAACTGTAAAGACATAGAAAGAAATCTGTGTAACTTTGGGCTAGGCAAGGATTTTTTAAGGACATAGAAAGCACTGGTATAAATAATGATAAACCGGACTTCATGAAAACTCAACTTCTGCTAATCAAAGCATCAGCATCAGCAACTATGTATAAAGGACATATGAGTCTTTTATGTACTATTCTTGATACTTTTCTATACGCTAGAAAATATTTACAAATAAAAAATTTTTTTAAATACCATTAAGAAAATGTTCACAATATATACTGGACAAAGAAGATGTATCCAAAATATATAAAGAAATCTTAAATTTATAAAAAATATATTTAATAAAAATTGAGCAAAAGACAACAGATAACTAACAGAGATATACCAGTAAACACATGTGACCATGCTTAGTGTCATAAGTCATAAGGAAGTAAAATCATAGTGATATCAATTTTATGCCCACTTAAATTGGCTAAAATTTAAAGGTTCATTAATACAAAAAGTAGGTGAAGATGTGGAACTACTGTACACACTTTGGAGAGCTATTTCTATAAAGTTATACAAATATCCTCCTCCAATGACCCAGCAGTCATCTTCCCAGTTGTTTTTCACGAGAATGAAAATACGTGCCCACAGAAAGATACTACAAGCATGTTCATGAAGATTTTCTTCATAAGAGATCAAAACTGGAAACAACTCAAATGTCCGTCAACAGGAAAATGGATAAATTGTCATCTATCCATACGAGACTCAACAATTTAAAAAATAACTATTAATGCTACAAGATGGATAAATCTCCAAACCATCATGTTAAGTGAAAGAAGCCAGTCACAAGAGTATGTTCTATACCATTCCATTTATAAGAAATTCAAGTACAGACAAAAATGTATCTACGGTGATAGAAATCAGTAATTGCTCATGGAGTGAGGATTGACCAGAGGAGCCAGGACAGAACTTTCTAAGGTGATGGATATGCGCTATGCTTTGATTGGAGTGGTATTTAAATGAATGTGTATACTTACCAAAACACATGAGAGTTTACACTAACATCTGTGCATTTCAGTTATACAAATTTCACACCAATGAAGGGGTAACACCATAACTTTTCATAATATACATTCCTTGTGTAGCGTAGTCTTGGATACCTGTAATCGCTTTCTATTATGAGCAATTAACTTTTAAATGTTTTACCATGGCATAAAGGCCCTGCATGATTGGGCCCTTGCCAACCCCTTCAACCGCATGTCCATCTTCCCTTACCTACGAGGTCGTGGGTTTACTGCCTCTACTGTCTAAAGTAGGTCATTTCTTAATGTTTTCTAGTTTAGTCTCTTATTTGTTTCCTTCACTACCTTTAAGATAACTTGTATTATTTTATATCTTTATTTTTATTCACCTTCCTTTTCCACCAGAATAGGTTCCAGGAGGATAGGGACCTTGTCTTTTTCATCATTGTATCCCTGATGTATTCTCAGCATATTTCCTGGCTCAGTATTTGTTGAATGCATAAATGAATAAATGAGTGAATGTTTATATAGTTCTATATGCCATTGAAGTGATAGTATACTCAATTGTTTCTCTGTTTGGAGTTTGATCCTTAACAATTTAGATAAAAAATATGTACTCTTATTTCCACAAGTACAACAAACCTTTAATAAAACTGTCACAGATGAGTTTTTGGTTAATGTAGTCCCTCTTTTTGTTCCTTTTTCCTTTCCAGAATCCTTGTAGTCTCTCCTATTTTCTAGTTAGAACATCTTGAGACACCTAATAGCACTACCAATGACAATGTTTTCCAAACATATTTGGTCCTGTACCACATTAACATAAGATTTGTTCATACCTACCACATAGGTACATTTATTTATTTCAAAAATATATAAACATGTTGTTGTACAATTATATGATAAAACATGCACAAAAATAAAAAGATGGGATGGAAGTTTTTTTATTTTGTTGTGTTTTGTTTTTTTGAGTTGGAGTCTTACTCTGTCACCCAGACTGGAGTGCAGTGGCTGCTCCCGGCCACTACAGCCTCGACCTGCTGGGCT